TAAAATGGCTGTTAAAACTGTTCCTCATAACACAATCTTCCTGACAGTAAGTAAGACAGTTAACACTTGGAGTGAGATTAAACGTCTGTTCTCCAACCCTCTGAAGCTTCCTCACATACTAAGGCAATGAAGAGTCCTGTTTCCAAATTAGTTACAGCAGCATTCTGTTGTGCTGAAACATGGGGAGTCCTGTTCTTTGAAGACTTACTAATGTTGGCCATATACAGAACAGTTGTAGTAACAAGCCGCTTAAAGTCTGATTTATGCTAATAAACTTCTCCCCTGATGCAAACGTTCAACTATAGACTTCGAACTTCTTGACTGTACTATCGTTCAGATTCTTCCCAGATTTGATATTCCAAAGAAAAACAGAGAGGGAAGTTGCACAGAATCAAAATTATCATAACATATAGTTGGAGGAGAAATGATTAGTTACAATGCTCAGTAGATGCTAATACTAAATCTTTGAGGTAAAGGCATACCACGTTTTCTTTCCATATGCTGAACACTAGATCAGATCACCTTAGCTCTTCATGCCATCTGTAAGTCTTATAGCAGTAGTTCAAACAGATACTTCCTATTTCAACATTAGATCTGTTCACTGTATTCATTGTTGTGCTCTCATATTTAACCAAGACAGCTGGGTTTTGCTAGTTTTCATTTCCACAGTGCACAAAAACTTCCAAGAAGTTTTCTAATGCTGACCTCTCCTGGCAAAACGAGGCATTTCCACACAAAGGGCTTACTTTAAAATAAGCCCTTATGCCCTCCAGGCACACAGTTTTTGTGAACTGCCATCCAAAATAATCTGGAAGGCAAGGTGGCCTTATGGAAATGCCATTACATATAGTGGCCAACTCAACATTAGATTGCAAGATGGTAACTGCAGATTTAAGGGATGAGATCCTAGCTACTACTACATGCAGCCTTGCTAATCCTCACACTGCAGTTAAATACTGGTAAGAAGATTCACACAGCATTCACCTATTTCAAACATAAGTTTTGTCTTTACAAGTGTGAGTGCTATATGCTGTCAAATCAGAACTGACCTATAGGGGCTCAGGGTGAGATAAACGTGGTTTTACCTGTTCTACCCCCCCCCGAGTTTCCATGGTCAAGCAGGGATTCAAACCCGAGTCTCATAAGATATTGTCCACTACACCACATTGAGTATCCTGCCTCTATAACTACTACACATTTTTATGACACGTGGCGAAATTACTGATTAAAAAGTGTTTTTATTCAATCACCTCCTTTCGCCCAGAGTTGGGAAATAACGAATTACAGAATTATTCTCCTTCCCCTCTCCACAAGGGGTTATAAAGAATGCACCTTCCAAAAGTACTTGAAGGAGGGGGGGGAGCAAAGTTTTTTTTTAAAAAAATAGGTGTTTGTGTCACAAGTCACACAATGTACATCCTTTTTAATTTAAGTGATAAAGTTACTTTTGTAAGGCATTTTTCAGCCCCTTGGGAAATTTTTGTTTAAGTGTTATGCAATTATGTAATACAAAAGAACAGACTATATCACAATCTACCGAAGAAGAACAACCCAACAGACAGTAACATATTGCCAAGACTGGGAGTGAGTCGCCTTACCTTTTACAAGTAACTTTCCAAGCCCTACTTTTGTCCCATATATTTATTAGATTTAAATAAATTTTAATATTGCTTTAAAATTACAGTGGGATTGCCTTATTGAGATACAGAAGGAAGTGTGAGATCATTTCGAATCGTCTCTTATCATCACTAATTGCAACGGTATGCCTCTATATTCAGCCCATGTGCTCTCTTCTTCTGTCTGTAGATTGTAAGCTCCTCAAGACAAGAACTGTCCTCTTCATTAAGGTGCTCTGCAAAGTGATATGTATGCCAGACTTACAAAAATCTGAGTATGTTGTTAGAAATATCATACGTCAGTAATGTGGCTGATGGAGCCTATCTATACATCATATACATAAGAAATTAAGTGTCAGAGAAAATTAACACACAGAATACCCCAGGACTAGAGGAAAGGTTAAAAGATCCATCAGGTTACCATAATGATAACTGTGTGCCATCAAATCAATTCTGATTTATGGCAACCCTCTCTAGGGTGTTATAAGTACAGAGTACTTAGAAGTGGTTTACCAGTCCCTTCTTCCAGGGCACTCTAGGAATGTGCAGCTTGCTCAGGGCCACACAGGCTGGCACTTCTGAGATGCACTGTGGGGAACTGAACTCCCTGCCTGATTCTACAGCCAGATAATTAAATCACTAAACCCCTAAAAATCAGATGTAAGAAGCAAATAAATCTTATTTTCCCTCCATCACTAAATAACTATTTCCTCTTTCATATTATCTTACTAAAAGTTTATTTCACCTTTTCAAATGTTTACAGTGTGACTAATATAACATTAAAATTTCAAAACAATTCCTAAAAACTAAACTATGCACACACACAATTTGTGTCATTAAATATTGTTATATGATCGTAACAGACTGACAAGTACTGACTCCAAATAAAGGCTATGCAATCCAGTCAGAGGACAAGAGTGTTTTACTTCCATGTTTGGGGACCTGAAACACCCAAAGGCCCAACACCTCCAGTACTACAGCATCCAATGTATGTATTATGCAGCGTTATTAAAAGCAGCTATTCTCAGTGGCCCCCATGTAAGTTTATAGTCATAGTCTTCCTGCAGGTAGCTAAGCATGCAAGGACTTCTGCTTCAAGAAGCAATGAGCAGAGCAAACATCTGATAAAAATGCAAGCCAAGGTAAGAGCTCTCTCTCGCCTGTATTTTCTATATACTGTACCATCCACATGGGAAGAACATGTATTGAAAAACTTTCTGTAAGGTTATCTCATCACATTAACACAGACTTAGAAATGTGTGTCCAACTCCAGCAAAACAGATGCAATATTCCCCAAAGTATTTCCCCAGGCCAAAAAAGCGGTAAAGATTTTCAGGAGTCTGAAGAGGCTACGTTTAATTTTGCACACTGCCTGGAAAAGTTAGGGTTACTGTAACTCTCAGTGATTGCTGTATCTGCTGGGTGGTGGATATAAGGGCTGTAATGATTTTTCAAATTTCTGATTCTGATGAATGTAAGCAGCAGAGTTCTTCTAAATACAGACCTGTACTTTTTTATAGCAGCAGTTCTCCAAGGGTTGAGACTAGAGACGGGGGCATTCGTATATCTCCAAATACGTACAGTATATCTTTGAATATCAATACTACCGCACAGGTGGAGAGACCGAGGGTCCGGCCCCCTGGGGTCAGACTGTCCACTCACCTTTCCGCTGCTGCAGCCAGTTCCACACTCCCTTCCTATCGCCCTGCAGCACCGGTCGGCCAGCCACTCTTTGACCTGGCAGAGAAGTTCGTCGTCCCGCCTTCTGCCAGGAGTGGCTAATCGACCGCAAGCTCTGGAGTGATAAGAAGGGAGCCCGCAGCAGACAGTGAGTGGATATGTCCATCTGTAGGGCGGTATTCGTACACGGGTACGAATACCCCCATGTCTAGTTAAGACACAAGAGACCTTTCCTGCTGTCCAAAATCTTTAAATTCACAGCTCAGAAATCTGTGGCCTACCAGACATTGAGGATGTTACTTCCAACATAACTCACCACTAGCCGTGCTAGCAATGGTTGATGGGAGTTGGAGTGCAAATACATATGGAGGACCACAGTTTTCATGTCCCCAGATTGAACAGAAGTTTGGACTTTATGCATTCTTTTTAGGAGAAATCTGTGGACTTTATGCATTCTTTTTAGGAGAAAGATAAAAATACTTTAAATTCAAAAATACAGCAGCTTTTTCCATCCAGGTTCCTTCCAGGCATATAGAAGCACGGCTCTCATCATCCCCAGTCACCATGGAAATAACGTATACTTTAAATTAAAAAATACAACAGCTTTTTCCACCCAGGTACCTTCCAGGCATATAGAAGCACGGCTGTCATCATCCCCAGTCACCATGGAAATAACGTGCTACCTATACAGAATTTCAGTACACTGGGAGGACAACAGTTTCAAAAAGCTAACCAGTAAACACACAGAGAGAAAGTTAGCAATGGTGTTTGGTGCAAGGAAGACAGCAGTTAAAGCTAGAAATGAAGTTGCATCATTGTGAGGCAATAATCAAATTCCAGAATAAGGAACATCACTGCTCAAACGTGCCCGGAAACAGTATCTGTACTTTTTGCTTCTAAGCCTGCTAGAACAGGGACTGAGATTAAAGGAGAGGCTCTCTTTACTTCTTTAGAGGCACACATATTATTATGTCAAGCCTCTAAGATGTTGGAGATTGAAGTTGATCCCTACATCTGTGGCCTTGAACTCTTGTTTGTGGGGTCTACATTTCTGGGAAACAAAGAAATCGCAAACCACACAAAATGGAGAATGCTTGAATACATTAGTCACTTAAATAAGAAATTAAACAGTCAGATTATGAACCTCTGCTCACAAAATACACGGGGAAAAGAAGTGTAGAAAGAGAAAAATGTACTGACTGAAGAACCTGGGAGACTGGTTTGGATACAGCACATCATTCTTTTAGAGCTGCCACATCCAAATGATGTGTCCACTGGATGGATGAGAAACAACGAGGCTTCCACTACCCAAATATAGCAGCAGATAATCAAATAGCCCGCCTGCCCCGTGTCTCAACTGTACCAAGGGAACCCCGGAACAACCAAACCTTCACTTCCTAACAGAGTTTTTAGCTTGTCTTTTTGGGACAGAATCAGATTTTTTTAAAAAACATTCAAAATATTTGGTCCTCCCATTGAGCATCAGCAGAGAAATCTGCCCTCTCATGCCCAATCCTAATGCGCACTGCTGAGTTCACCATAACTAGCACTAGAACTGCCACTTCCTCGCACGGAAACACGATACTGGAGTGGCTTTCTCACTCCGGGGTCCAGAACGGTTGTAAGAGCGGCCTGTACGGTTGCAATCTTCAAGCACCCCTCATAAGAAGCATGCCGCACATACCCGAGAAGGGGCTTACTTACGAGTAATCATGAGCATCAAGAGGCAAAGGTGCGCGCGGTCCCTCCCCTGTCCTCTCGGTCTATGATCCGACTTTTCACCTCGAGCGAAGTTTGCAGGTCGACTACGATCCGGCCGAGCCCGCTCTTCGCGCCCCCTCTCCGGGACTCCGGCCCAGGCCAGCGAGCAAGGAGGGCCACGCGAGAGGAGTCACACGGGCTCGGGAAACCCAATCCCCTCAAACCGGTGCGAGGAAGGAACCCACACCCCCAGGGGGCAGCGCCACTTCCTGTCAGCGCGCCAGGAGCAGCAGCAGCAGAGGAGGAGGAGGAGGCGGCGGGGGTGCAAATGAGGGGGAGCGGAACCCCCCCCCAAAAGCGGAAGACCGAAAGCGGCTCACCGCAGTGGCTGCACTTCCCCGCCTGCCTGGAGACAGCAGCTACGCCGCGGGGAGCGGAGCCCGCCTTTTGTTTCCCTTGCACCAGTTCCCTCGTGTGCTTCTTCGAAATCGCCCCGGGCCAAGGGAGTCAAGGAGGAGCCGCTGGCTCTCTCTCTCTCGGGCTGCAAACGCAGCACCCCGCAGGATGCCTGCCTCCGTTCCCCCAAACTCCCGGCGCTGCAGGAGCGCGCGCTTCTTGCGACCGACCCGCTCCCTTGCCTACCACGACGGAGCCGGCGGGGAAGGGAGGGACATGCGCAGCAGCCGGGCTGCTCCTTCACAGCTGCCGCAGCTGTTCCTCTCTCTCCCCCCCCCGTACAGAGACAGGGGGCTCCTTCCAGCCGTCGTTGGTTCTCTTCCCCCCCCCTTTTCCTCCCGGGAAACAAACCACACACTTTCCCACACGTCCGGTTTGTCTTTCCCTTCGTTTCCATACGCCCCTTGCCCCATGGTTTAAAACTGAAGCTTCTGCTCGACTCCCTTTTTGATCAAACGCAGGGTCAGGCACCACCTTTGGATTCTTACGTTTCCGGGATTTGCAGATGTATTCGTATGCCAAAAAAAAACAAAACAGGGAAATTGCAATTTATAACACTTCGTCGAAGGAACTGCAGAAAAACAATACTTTTCTTCCGTTTGCTGATTTTCTTCTACACAGTCTTGCATGCCAGCTTGTGCCACAGCATAATACTATGGAAACTATAGGACGTGCCCTAAAAGGTATAGGTCTTATTTTAAGTCAACTGCACTTGTAACAGTTGACATAAGATACAGGTTACAGCTGCTTTCATTTAACTATGGTAAGATACAAGTTGCCGCTATGCTTATTTAACAGAGCTGCTGTCCTTTTAAATAAGAATAACTGACATTTTAATAGAAAATCCCAGGTGATGGAAATTATTTGCAGAAACCTTATCTGGACAACGTTAGGGACTTTAGAGTTTTGTAGTATTCCACACAACGGTTTAATCTTTCAAAATAGCTTGTGTGGCTGACTGTAGCAAATTTGTCCATTCTGTCAGAATTTAACTAGAGGCCAAGAAAAATTACAATATTTGCATTTGAACTTCAGTATTTAGTTGTTGTCATTATGTGCAACCAAGTTGCTTCAGACTCATGGCAACCTTATGCATGAGCACTCTCCAAAATGTCCTGTCCTCAACGTCCCGGTTCAACTCAAGCCTGTGGGTTCCTTTAAGAGGTCAACCCAGCTTATATTTGGTTTTCCTCTTTTCCTGCTGCCTTCCATCATTCCCAACTTCATACTCTTTCCCAGAGAATATTTCCTTTTCATGATGTGCCCAAGGTAGGACAGTCTTAGTTTCAATATTTTTGCCTCCAGCATTGATCCAATATTTTACCACCATTCAAAAATAAAATATGGCATAAAGACCTGAAATGCTAACCTATGACCGAAACAGCTTGCCCAAGCATGGTTATGAGTCATCTATGCATTCTGGTACTAAATTATTGGGGGGGGGGTGTTAAAAGTTACCTCTGTTTCGGAGTCAGGGACTCACAGCTAGCAGGTCTAACAAAAGCAACACACCTTACATTTTATGCTTACTGTTAAAGCCACACTAATCAACAACTGCCTACTATTAGTAGAAAAGTCCTGCAAAATCCTTGTGTATACGTCATGTATCAGTTCTAAGCAGAAAGTCAAAGAATCTAGTTCTGCTTCATGGTTTGCTATAGCTGAATGTCAACTGCTGAAGCAAACAGTAATATAGTGCCTGCACACTCCTACCCATTTTTATGCAGAAGTTAGTCTCCCTGTGTTCACTGGATTTTATAATACATACAGTTGTTGCTCAAGAGTAACTCAATTCTACCTTGCAATCCTATTCTGTGAGTTGCTCAAAGGTACTTGTGACATTTATAAACAAGGTACCTTAATTTATATTCGTTCTTTTAGCCGTATGGCCCATCACCACATTCATTGTCCATGAGCAGGATATTGCAGAACTGTTTCTCTGATGTCATCTCCAGAAATGTCACACTATAGACAAATTTATTTAGGATACAGATTAGGCAAGGGAAGGAAAAATACTTTAAAGCTGTAGCCAATTAACACCCTCAGATACAGAGAAACAACCTAAAATAAATAAAACAAGTTAAGGTGGGAGAAAGAATTACCTTTTTAAAGATGAATTCAAACCCTTGCCCATGTGTATTGTGTTAAAAAAAAGATAAATCTCCCACTGTACATTAAGCCATAAATTAAAAACAAGTGTCACTCCAATACTGCAGAGGAAAGATTGTGTAATCAGTATAACAAAGTAATTACATAAACTAGAGAGATATTCAAAGGCTATTTCATTCCTTTGCCCAGATCATAAGAAACAATGCAAAGCAGCATGTTAAATCCCAGCAAACTCAAGAAAAAAAATAAGCAGTACAGTATTAGATTACATGAAGGCCTGTTACCAGATCAGTTTCAACTAATAATATGCAACACAGATGTAAAAAGAGGCTTTTAACCAGTTGTCATAGGTACAGAATACCAAGAAGCGGTTTACTATTCCTTTTTTCTCCCTGGGATTGTGCAGCTTGCCCAAAGAAACACAGGCTGGCTCTACTTCATAGGAGGCACATTGGGAATCAAACTCCTAACCTCTGGCTCTAGATATCTAAACCACTAGCAAGATATCCTTATTTATGCCTTGTTCCTAATCTTGTTATGAGCTGCCTTGAGTCCTAGTTAGATATCTACAGTAAACCACTAGCAAGATATCCTTATTTATACCTTGTTTCTAGTCTTGTTATGAGCTGCCTTGAGTCCTAGTTTTGGGGAAAAGATGGGATATAAATCAAATTGACAAAAGAGTGGGGTCAGATTGATAAACTGCTATATCATGTTAGAAAGTGAAGATTCACATGAGGAAGTAAGTATAAAATGAAAATACTTTAACAGCATCATAGAGTTGTGCCAAGTTCCCTTTGATAGACCCTTAGACCCCGCAGCTAGCTTAGAATATTACTGCTATCAGGTTCTTAACCAGAATTAGTCACCTGAATCCTATCACACCCTGAGTCAGATAACCTACTTAACTTTTGGTTCTTCTGTCAAGCATAATTAAAAGGACTGATGCTTATCTTTAACCCTCTAAATCAGTGGTTCCCCAACCTTAGGGCTCCAGATTTTCTTGGACTTCAGCCCCCAGAAATCCTGGCCAGCAGAGATGGTGGTGAAAGCTTCTGGGAGTTGTAGTCCAAGAACACCTGGAGGCCCAAGGCTCAGGACCACTGTTCTAAATGTACTGAGACCTGGCTATGAAATGGAAGACATGGCTCCTGTTCCTGTAACAATGGTGTGGAAGAAAGAATTTCAGCAGGCATAGATTGCTACCACAAGCTATGACTGCTGAAATTCCCTCTTCCACAGGACTATTAAAGATACAGGAGCCCTGTCTTCCGTTTCATGCAACCAGCCATGGCGACTATAAGGTTCTGGGAGTCATAGCCACAAGAGAATTTTGCCATCTCTGTACCAGCTTACTTTTAGTACTTAGGGCATCTTTGTTAGTCATCCTCTGGGAGGCTTCACCATCTAATACTGTATAATGTTGGCTCCTGGAGGGAGTAGGTTCCATTGTGGTACTTCATCACATTCTGCTTTTTCCTTTCCTTTCTGCTAGACAGCAAACACTCTTCTTTTCTGAGATGCTTAGTTTTTAAAAGTGCAATGAATTTGATTGAGTGGTATAATTTTATCTGCTATTGTATGTGGTTGTTAGATCGTATGGCTGCAGTTTTCTTTAACTGTAAGTAGATCTAAAAGTATTGATTGAGTTACTGCATTAATTGATATGCTTCCCTACTACTGCAAGCACTACTCTGGGTGCTTTATAGATTAAAACATAAAAAAAACTCCAAGACCATAGATAACAACATATATTTAACTAACATGGTAATATGCAACTATAAAGTTTAAAAGTCACACAAAAAGAAAAGAAAATACAGCATCCTGGAGATTAAGTTGTTGAAAGCGGCTTTGTATAATTCATTTTTTACAAATTTCCTGAACATAAGGAGGAAAGGAGCCTGGCATATCTCTGATGCTACCCTGTTCCAGAGACTGGGAGCCATCACTGAAAATACTCAATTCCTTGCCATCATGTTTTTGGCTTCCTTTGGTGGGACCATTTATGGATTGAGAGGAGCAAGTGGAACAGGCTGCCAATTTCTGGGGGAGATATTACAACAAGTATTGAGATCGTAAACTGTTAAGGGCTTTATAGTTTATAACCATCACCTTGGTTTGAGCACAGAAACTAACAGGGAATAGTGAAGGTACACCAAGACTGGGGATATATGATCATATTTACCAATCCCATTAATCAGTCTGGCCACCACATTTTGGACCTGCCGAAGTTTTTGTACTGTTTTCAAGGGCACCCCTATGTAGAGAGCATTACAATATTCTGTTTTTGAGATTATGCTGAAGGCTAAGATATAGTACATGGTGGCGCTGCAGGTTAAACCGCAGAAGCCTCTGTGCTGCAAGGTCAGAAAACCAGCAGTCATAAGATCGAATTCACACGATGGAGTGAGCTTCCATCACTTGTCCCAGCTCCTCGCCAACCTAGCAGTTCAAAACCATGCAGTGGGAAGGTAATGGCGTTCTGTGTCTAGTCGCACTGGCCACGTGACCACGGAAACTGCTTACAGAAAAACCCTGTCTCTATGGCTTGGAAACAGGGATGAGCACTGCCCCCTAGAATCGGACATGACTGGACTAAATGTCAAGGGGAACCTTTACCTAGGATATACATAAGGACTAGATTATAATAATAATTATAATAGCAATAGTAATTAGTAATACAGCTGTAGATTTCTCACGGTCACTGGAATAAAATTCAGAACAGTGGCGGTTATAAGGATGTAGATAGTTTGTAGACTGAAACACCGAAGTGCAACAGTTGTGAGGAGAAGCAGAATCAATTACTGTATATTTATTGAGGTGAGGTTCAGATGGCACATAAAAAGTTAGAGGAAAGGGATTTAGGTGCAAACATTATGGAGCCTGTGAGTATTCTGAGTCAGTTGACCTCAGGGAAAAAACTTTTAGTTCAGAATTGATGGGAGGGTGAGGAATCTGATGGAACGTGTCAGGGTGAAAAAGTTGTGAATGTAGAACTCTCCTAGCTCCACATCAATAGGTAGGTAGAGAGAGGTGTGTGTGTAAAAGTAATCAGGTGAGTTTGGAAACCAAGGCAAAGACTTGTGCGAATAGGACCTATTATTTCCTTCCTGAAGTAGAAAAAGCAAACGACGCCCCTCCCCAAGCGAAAGTGTATATAGTACCCAGGACCCGCTAAGAACATTCCACCATTTGTACTGGCAGAAATACAAGAGCATCGTTAGCTAACCCGTGTTGTTAGGAAAAATACAGGAGTAATAAATTAAAGAAGGGTTTCCTCCCCTTTCCTAAGACCCCACATCGGCTCATGAGGGAACCTCCGTGCGGCGGCGGGGGTGGGGGCAGCGAAGAAGAGGGCGTGTAGGGCTCCTGTTTAGCCCACGTCGTGAGCATGGCGGGTGGATCAGCCAAAAGGGCGCAGCAGCAGCGCCTGTAGCCTCAGCGAGACCTTCGCGCCGGGCGCCGCGCCTCTGGTTTGAGTTTCAGCGCGCGCTGGTTGCCTCAGGACGCGTAGTGTGGCTCCGGCGCCCACCTGAGCGGGAACGCGAAGAGGAGCCCCTGCCTGACCAGAACGGAAGGTGCCGCCGAACCGCCCCTGCGATGCAGCCCCTGCGGTGGCTCCTCTTCCTCTTCCTCCTCCTGGAGGGAGTGGCTGCAGAGGAAGGCCGCCGAGGAGCCGCCGCAGCCAAGCCGCCGCCGCGCTTGGGCGAGAAGCGCTGCGCCCCTTCGTCCCCTCTGCCAGCCCACATGGTGAACCTGCTCCGGAGAGCCCTTCCCCAGGCGGACGTCATCCGGAGCCTGCGGCCGCACAGTAAGTGAGCGTCGGCGGGACTGCACGTCGCAAGGTGTGGGGCGGGCCGGGGCGGGGGTGGTGCCTGCCTCACCTGGGCAGGTACAGAAGGGCAGGGACAAGCAGGTACAGAAGGGGAGGGCTTTTTCTCTCTACACTAGGTTGGAGAGACTGTCATGAGTTATCAAGCAGAACCGGCTTCTTTTTCCAGTGGGTAAATAAATAGTGTCTAACCTTGTGCGCCTCTCTCCAGTAGGCAGATGAGGGAGGGAGCTCTTTTCCTATGTGGGTTCCCTTGCAGAGTGAGAGAGATTAAATCTGAGCCAAGGACTGTGAATGTGGGATCAGCAAGTGGAAGTGCTTGTGAGGGGGCACCCCCCCGCCCCATAACAGTTTGCTTCAGTGCCCCAAAAATGTAATGTGTGATAGGTGTAAATTGACCAGGAAGAAGCTACTGTAGTAAGGAGGTCATACACAGATTCCTTCTTCCTTTTAGATAAAGAGTCGATTAACCCTCAGGAGTCTTAACAGGAGGGAATACCTTGCAGATGCAAACCTGGCCTGGTCTCTGAAGTGGTTCTACATTCGCCCACCAGAAAAATCCTTCAATTGCCTCTTAGAATCCCTGGCTGTTAAAACAGGGCAATCATGTCAAATAACCAGCAATCTGCTGCTCTTCAAGGACACAGTAAATCTGCTGCCTGAGGAGGCCACTCCATTCTACTACATAATGGAAGGCTAACCAGATGTAGGCATGTATTGTCTACTGGTGTCTGTTTTGTTGCACTCTTTCCCCTAAATGTTCCCATATTCACCCAGTGCTGTGTAATTTTATCTTTTGTTTACTCTTTGGGAACAGACAAAGGAAAATCACAGAATTGTACAACCTGCAGTCTCTGAGAAAAATAGGATTTTGTGAAACCTCCACCTTTGACTAGTCATTCATGTGGAAGCCACGTTTCATGAAGAACTCAGCACTGCCTCTTTCTCCAGTTCTGAAGGGGCTAGTAAGAACTTGAGGCAACTGCCCATAAATAAGCTTCCAGAGAGTAAGGGCCTTCACTTCTTCTTAGCTTGCAGCTGGGTCCTCGAAAATTTTTAGGAGGGTTTCATGTTCTATTTTGTATTTTGCACAAGATCAACAGATTTCTTGATGCACTATTGGTCTTCTTCCACAATGCATCACTCCTCCTGTCGAGTTGTTTTCCTTCCTGTCAGGCATGTTTCCACTCTTGTGTGTCTTCTTTGGGTGTATGAACAATTGAGAGCAGTAGTGAGGCACCACCAATAAACAAGGTGCTGCAAATCAGTAAGCTGCAAAGGCACAATTTTGAACTAAACTGCTCAGAGAGTGATTTAAGCTCTGTGGTAAAAAGGTAAAGGTTCCCCTTGACAATTTTTGTCCAGTCGTGTTCGACTCTAGGGGGCGGTGCTCATCCCTGTTTCCAAGCCATGGATCAGGCCAAGAGCCCATCTAGTTCAGCTTCCTGTATCGCACAGTGGCCCCACCAGATACCTCTGGGAGCACACGAGACAACTAGAGACCTGTCTCCTGATATCACTCCCCTGCATCTGGCATTTTGAAGAACCTTCCTTTTAAGCCCAGAGATAATACATCCCCTATCATGGCTTGTAACCTGTGATGGACTTTTCCTCCAGAAATCTGTCTAATCCCCTTTTAAAGGCATCTAGGCCAGATGCCATCACCACATCCTGTGGCAAGGAGTTCCACAGACTAACAACACGCTGGGTCAAGAAATATTTTCTTTTGACTGTTCTCACTCTCCCAACACTCAATTTGAATGGATGTCCCCGGTTGTGGTATTGCGTGAAGGGGAAAAGAGCTTCCCTCTAGCCACTTTATCCATCTCCTGCATAATTCTGTACATCTCAGTCATGTCCCCCCTCAGGCACCTTTTCTCTAGACTAAGGAGCACCAAACACTGTACCCTTTCCTCATAAGGGAGGTGCCTCGGCCCAGTCATCATTTTAGTTGCTCCCTTCTACACCTTTTCCAGTTCCACTATCTTTTTTGAGATGCGGTGACCAAAACTGTATGCAATACACCAGGTGTGGCCTTACCAGCGTTTTGTGCAATGGCATTATAATGTTGGCTGTTTTATTTTCAATCCCCTTTTTAATGATACCTAGCATGGCATTGTCCTTCTTCACTGCTGCCACACACTGGGTGTATGAGCTACACTAAGTTCTGTAAAGCACATTCAAAGCAAAGCCACACAGCAAATGGTCTCAACACATAGTATATGTTCCAAAATGTAGGACATTTCCTTTGAAAGGGCTCTAGAGACAAGTCCATACACAAAGTGGAAGTCCACTATCAACTGTACAGCCACTTCGTTTCCTACACTGAACTTTACCCAGTCCTCTGAAAATTGTTGGTGATAAAACCAGCATAGGCGTTATCTTCTTTCTGATAAGAACAGCAAGGAGCTACTGTATAAGCTTCTCCAAGAATCCAAACCAGCAATATTTTGACATAACCTCCATCTGTCAATACATGTGGCTCAGAAACATTCTCTGACATTTTGGGGTCTCAAGCCTGATCCTTGCTACTCACCATACTAATTCCTTCTGATCAGCTTTTAATTCTTTTGAGGTTCTCATAATTTTAAGTTCAAATACATACGTATTTTATTTGCATGTGGAAAATATACAAGTGAAAGGGGAAACTGAAAATCTTCAACCCATCTCCCAGATGTCTCAAGCCACATTGTTTTGCTACCCTGGAAAGAGTGTTTGTGAAAGTGTCAATCTGTTAATGTTCTCCACCCACCCAGGGTGGCTTTTATTTTCTTTTCAGTGGCGAAAACAAAGTGAATGTGTATCTGTGTTCTAGACAAGACAGCCCTCACTATAGAACTCTGAATGGGATTGCAATCCACATCCTTTGGCTGTCTTTTCCTGGTTAAGGTGATTAGATCTCTTCCAGACAGACCACAAGTGCTAGGGAGATGGATAAGCTCTGGCCTTCCTCTGTTTAAGTCTTATTTAGTTGAAAAGCATTGTTCATCCTTTCCCCTTTCCCAATGAATTGCACACTCTTTTTAACCTTCTCGTAGACAATCCTTTCTCCAAACAAATTAGAATGCTGTTGGAGGAGCAAGATCACAGCAGCCCTTTTGATCCTTTAGATGTTATCCTCTAGATAGTTTAGTACAGGAAAGGCAGAGTAAATGATGCAGCGCTTTGGTTTTGATTGTATCCAACTGATCAGGATTGTGCTGTTCCCAAGCATAAGGTCTGTGTGCTTTCTATAAGAGAAGCAGCCTTTTCTACAAATGAGTTTACACATGTGTGAGTGTGAATACTACTTCTCAGTGCTCTCATGCTAAAGAGTGAGGAAATTTTTGCATAGAGTAAGAAGTCATCTTCTGTGCTGATCATCTTTGTTTTATTTGCCCCTTAGGTGTCCGTCAAGTGGGACAGAGATGGAGCATAATTTTCAACCTTTCAATTTGTCAGCAAGAGGAATTGCAGCTAGCTGAGTTAAGACTCCAGCTTCCCGGCTCTGAAGAGAAATCTGTCTTCAGCAGTGCCCCAGTATGGGTAGACCTGTACCACCAGCAGGAAATAGCTTGCCCAAGTAATCACAACTGCTCACACATCATCCACATAGGCTCCTTTGGAGCTCCTGCATCATTGCCTTCAAGCTGGATAGTCCTCGAAGTCACAGAACCGCTCTTGAAGTGGGCCATAAACAGCAGTTTAGCAGAGGAAGCTGTTCAGAAAACTCTATGGCATGAACACCAGCATACCGAACATTTCCCAAGGCAAGTAGCTAACCAGTGTGGCTCTCCAGACAGAAAGGCATTCTTAGTACTTTTCTTTAGACTCTCCAAAGAAGAGAAAAAATTAAATAGCTCAGCCTTGCTCCAGACAGTGAAAGGATCTAAATTCTTTATGCAGGGGACCCCAAAATATACAATGCCACTTTGGAGAAGGAAGAGACATAGACGCCAGAAGAAATTCCAAGGCTTGTCTTCGTTGAGTTTGAAAGAGCCTAAAATCGAAAACCTGTGCCACAGGGTGGATTTCTATGTCGATTTTGAGGAGATAGGGTGGGGCTCCTGGATTATATACCCCAAACGATATAATGCTTTCCGCTGCGATGGAAAATGTCCAGTCCCTCTGGAAGAGAAATTCCTGCCAACAAACAATGCTTATATGCAGGTGAGTGTCCAAAGTAATGTCCAGAAATATTAGAACAAACTCAATTGAATCTCAACTTAATCCCTGCTTACAGTATCATATGTATGATTCCTAAAGGGTAATTCCCCATCCAGTTGCCTGCACTGAGTCAAATATGCTTCCCATGGGCGGTTAGTAAAGAAAGATTCCAGCTCTGCAATTCTAAGATGATGATGATGATTACAGACATTTGTTAGCCAGACAAACAAGATAAATTCCCAGTTAATAGGGCATAAAATGAGCCTTTGTTAAGGTTTTCTGTCTACTTTAATACCAATACTTATCTGCTGCTAAGTCAATTCTGACGTATAGGAATCCTTCCCAGGGTTTTCTAGGTACTCAGAAGTAGTTTACTAGTCCTTCCTTTGGGGATGCTTTAGGATAGTACAGCTTGCCCAAAGCTACACAGGCTTGTTCTTCTTTTGTTACAGTAACTATCCTTCAGCCATTTTAATCCAGCACTCTGGTATTTGTTTATACTGTTGCTGTTTAGAAACTGCTATGTGTTGGCCAAAGCAATGAGTGTGATTTATTTTAATATATTTTTGTACAGGGAGGGCAGTGTAGTTTAGGTGTTAGTTTTCTAAAGTAACACACTTGTTTGCTTTACAGTTAATATAGCTCAGTAACACATTACTGGCAAGTTAGTACTTAAAAGAGAAATTCTTGAGTGGAGGTGTCTTTGTTTTAGTGAAGAGGATAGAATAAAGATTAAAATAAATAATGATGGCTTAGTCTCACAAGAAAATATAGAAGAAAATATATGCCATGGATTATGGTATTGTTTCCCTGGCTGTTGGGAAATGGGTCCTCAATAAGAACATTAAGTGTGCTGTTGCATTATTCAGTACCATCAGTTTTAACACAATAGTGGAAGAAAATACAAGGCTATCTAGGCAAGGCCTCATGAAAATGGATGAGCATGGAAGGTTCACCTGTATCACCTGGAATTGTATATCAATGGTCTGTATTCCTGTTGACAATTCCTACACCTTTGAGACAAAATGTGATGCATCGCTGTATTTGTCTGCTGCATGTATATATGAAAGTAGGCCTATTGTTTGCTAAATATCACACTGACAGAACAAGTACCTTTCTGAAATAGCAATGGTATAGCAAATTTGTAATATTTCTTATCTATTACTCTTATAAGCAAATGATGCAGGAAACCATATAAGGAATTCAATGTTAAGGATTGTTAAGGATTCAAAATAAAGCATCACCTGAATGGTGCCTTTAGAAGAAAAGTACCATTTGAAATGTTGTGACAAAATAATGTAATTGAGAAAACATGGCCTTCAAGGTAGAACAAATGAGACCATCTCCTCCACAGTCTGCAAATGACAAACAATAATTTAATAGACTAAACGATGGATGGATGGATGGATTTGTTGTCTTTGTTGTCTGGCTGGGGAGCCCGAGGTTGGGAATTCAATTCCACATTGTGCCTCATGGGAGTAGAGCCAGCATATGTGGCTTTGGGCAAGCTGCACAATCCTAGGGCAACCCCAGAGGAAGAGAATGCTTCTGAGTATTCTCTATCTGAAAAAACCTGAAAGGGATCGCTATAAGTCAGAATTGATTTTGATGGCATGATGATTATTATTAAAAATTGGACAATACTGTGAGCTACCATTTAAAGGTGTACATATTTGTATCCCCAGAACAGGTTACCACAAATGTCAAAGGAAGCCAAAGAAAGGGGTGTGTGGGGGCTCAACATTTTACTAAAACAATTAATTTATATATATAGTAATTTTTTGGGAAAGAGTGGAATGCCTGGTTTTGTCTAAGTTCAGGTGTCAGCATACTCTTGGTGCTATCCCCCTGCCTTCTTTTTCTATGCTACAAATGTCAGACATATGTGAGCACAAGTTTATTGTTCCATGATGTTCAGAACTGTACATTGAAAGAGAATGCTTAGCTTTCTAAAGCAAGTGCTTCAGTTGGAACTTTAGAAGTTAGTTACTTGCAAGCAAACAGCTGTTGTGAACAAATTGCAACTGTAATGACATTCATGACTAAAAACGGTCAAATACTAAATAAAGGGCCTGAAGCAAATTATTTATTACTAATATAGAAATGAAATGGAAGAGAGAAGAATGGCCCTTGGGGGTTTCCTAAGTAGCAAGCTGGATGATCTTTGAGTCTTTGGTCATCATTGGTAATTTTTGGCCATGACTGCCGTGTTTCCCTGAAAATAAGACAGGGTCTTATATTAATTTTTGTTCCAAAAATGCATTGGGGCTTATTTTCAGGGGATGTTTTATTTTGTTCATGCACAGCAATCTACATTTATTCAAATACAGTCATTTCATCTTCTTTTGGTTGCTGCACAAGTGGTGGACGGCGGGATTTCACTTAATTGGGGCTTATTTTCGGATTAGGTGTTATTTTTGGGGAAACAGGGTAGCCACTTCCAACAGTGTGCTACTGCCTTGGCCAGATAAATTTCTTTCTTCTTCTGGCCGGTGGTATCAAGCTCTAGAACAGTTCAAGGGTTGCAGGAATTTCTAGGCAGAACTCGCTAGTGACAGGGCAGGACATATTAGGTGTTCAGCAGCCTTGCAATTTGCCAGCCAATAACTGATTCAGCATGCCTTCTCAGGTACTAAACAGGAGTGCAGCAATAGGGAGAGAAACAGAGGCAATGCCTCTCCAAATGATCATTCTGCTCTTCTGTTTGAAATTTTATTTCAGTTTTGTAATGCCTAATATTTTAGTATTTAGTAGATTGGCTGGATAGCTCAGTGAGTTAGGTGCAGTTCCTCACATGTACCTTGCAGGAGAAGAGCTGGTCTGTGGAAGTTCATAGGCAAGCTGCACAGTCCTAGAACGCCCCCAGAAGAAGGGAAGGGTGAACCATTTCTGAGGACTCTCTACCTAGAATACCTTGCAAAGGGTCACTGCGAGTCAGAACTGACTTAGCAGCACACATTTATTCGTTAATATTTCAGTAGTCTGTAATCTCAATTTTTTAAAACAGTTTAGGTAGCCAAAGAGAGGGATCAAGCTAACCACTGAAATGTGAACACAAGTTAGAAATAAAAGAAATAAAGTTGTGAATAGTCTTAAATGTCTCACTTTGTAAATAAAAGGCATTCCAGGACATGGAAAAGGGAAGGAAGACCAAGAGCTAACATTTGTAAACTGCTGAGTCACTATTGTTCCTTGATTTCTGGGGTTGGGGGGTGCATTTAAAAAAAAACCCTTGGCCGCAGCTATGACGAGAAGACAAGGAATTGGACAACGTAAGATGTGCCTCATACCTACATAAACAAACAGTGCCTGCAGTACAACACTGCAGTTATGTCTAGGTAGTTGCGTGGCTTATCTGGAGAACTATCAGGGTTTCATAACAGGATCAGGTGTTTTTGAGGGCAGTGTTTATTTGAAGCCAGATCCCTTCTAGAGATTGCCTGTCAATTGTTACCTCGCCCTGGCACATTCTTGGCTGACTGTAGGAGTTAAAAAGGCAAAAAGTTTAAAAGGTCATCATGTTGACATACCACTTTCCCTCATGAGGACAACTTTAGCATGACAGTGCATATAGTTATGCAATGAAGTGTTGTTTGCCACTAGAGCAGTAATCGTGGAATACTGATTTCTAGAAATCATACTCTCAGAAGAAAGGAACTTTGCCTAAACGTCTGCACTTCAGAGTTCTGCTGCATCCATTTTAAAGTGTAGCTATTTTTTAAAAATGGGTTGGTTGTCGCCCATGTGTCCCTTAGACAAAGTTTGCTTTTGACAGTCGGGGAGGACGAGCAGGGCCAATGTGGGTGCCGACTGTGTATCTGAGCTGATGTATACATAGCTCTCATGACAGTCTCTCATCCTTCCTGCATCCTTATACTGTAGTCTCCTGTCATCATCCCTCGCAGCCCACATCAGAACATTGGCTAATTCCAGTGGTGGAACTCATTGGTTAGTGATAAAGGAAATCTCTCTCCTTCCTCCAGACCTTTATGTGCCTTCGAAATACCTGGGAGCAGAACTCTCTTTCAAGCTGGTTTTTGGGCAGTGCAGAAAGAACTGAGGGTAGGTAGAAATTCCAGTCAGGCCAGTGAGCATCAAATTTTAAATTAATGCATTATTTCATGACACTGACTTAATTTCTTTGCAACATCTGTACTCCACAAATGTTAATTATATGGCTGCACTGATCTCCCTGAACCAGAGCCCTCCACTTACGAAGAACTGTAACTTTGGATGCAAATTTGGAAATACTATTTTCTTGAAATTTTCATTCAGTGTTACAGACACTACCCATGGATACTACTCCTTGTCCTGGTGTCATGGAGCCCGTCTATTGTTCTTCACCTTGCAAGGCTTCTCCCTTTCTAAGAGAAAAATGTATATCTGTTCCAGAGCGTGCTTAAATATTATCATCCGGAAAAAGTTCCTGCTGCTTGCTGCATCCCAGTAAGACTGAGTCCTCTAAGCCTGCTCTATTATGAAGAAGGAAGGGTTAGCCTGGGTCACCATGAAGATATGATTGTAGAAGAATGTGGCTGCCGCTGAGAAGACTGCAGAGTTTGGCAGATGATTCTGTTTCAAACCTCCTCCCCTGGCAAGATGAAAGAAGGTTCACCATGTGAAGAGGACAGCACTGGTGCCCTTGACCTGCAATAGGTGGTCACTAAGACAATGTGGGGAGCTCAGCTTGGAAGATAGCCACCTCTTGTGTACAAAATTGTGAAATTTCTGAAGCAGTTGTGATTGATCTTTAATACTGAATGTGAGAATGAAAGACTGATAGACGAAAGCTTCAGGTTTGTCTGCTGATCAGAAAGGAATGCTAGGACTAAAGTGGAGTAAAGAAATATCTTTAATTCTCCACTAAGAGGTGACACCAGCCTCCCTCAAGCTCCCACGATAAAGTGGTTTTGTGAAACTGTCCTTACATAGTCATATCTAAGGCAGTCTGGAAAACTGCATTAAAGCACCATCATTTGCTGTGGGGCCAATATGGCTGAAAGATAACGATCTTAAATATTGAGAGCATGGGAAAGCAACTGTCTGAGCAATGTAATTATAAACCACAATGTGAGGGGACCAGTTGACATGTAAGGGGCTGCTATACATGAAATATTGTTTTGGTAAAATGTCTGCATCTTTGTTACAAAAAAAGCACAATGACCATTTCACTACTCTCACCCACTCAACCGCTGAAATAAGATTTAAGAACGTATTTCAAGCAGGGATAAACAGCTCATTTAGAAGTAACATTTCCACTAACTTGACAGCTGACTAGAGAGGAAAGGAAAAATTATTCTTCTACCCCAACTGCATTTCTCATTGGGATATGAAATGACTGAGTAAAAAGCAGATCCCATTTTTTTACTTGTATAAATAATATTCCTAGTCATTTGTTCGAACATAATATCTTAATGGACATTTTAAAAAGTTTTAGATATCTGTACAGCGGGAATTGTTGGTAGGGAAGTCAGAGGCATTCAGTCACCTATTGCTTCCTAAAATAGAATGGCTAAAATCCTGTTGGTATAACTATATCTACACAAGGGTGATGATGTCACTAGCAGGGGGAGATTTCATATGATTAAAGACTAGAGATGGGCACAAACCGGTTCATTCCAGTTCGTCCTGGTTTGTAAAGGCAGCAGCGCAGGTGCTGTTGCTCCCCTCCCCCACCTGCACTGCCTCAAAGAGCCACTCACCTGGGCCAGCGTGATAGCTTCTGTCACCTCTTCAACTTCTGTCACCTCCTCAACTGATTTTCCTCTTGGCTGATCTCCCACTCAGACAAAAGGATGGGGCAGAGAAGTCTGTGCTCTTGCTTGTCACTGGGAGATTAGCCAAGGAGATGGAAAGAACATGCGAATGGAGCCTGGTGAACAGCTAAATCGGCTGAGGGTGCTGGCTGCCTTTACGAACTGGGGCAAACTGGAATGTACCAGTTCATGGCTATCTCTTTTAAAGACTTTCCCCCTTCTCTCTTGCAGCTTGCCCACTTGTGAATCTTCTGTTTCATTGTGTGGAAGACGTGTGAGCTGTTATACTGAAGGAGGAAACCTTTTGTTACCAAAACCTGCCACTGCTAGATGACATTACTGACAGAGGAAGAGTTTTTAGTGATAAAAGACTTCTTTCTATTCTGCAAATCTCACAGCTTCTACATGATGAAATTCACAAGTGGGACAAGTTGTGGGAGAGTAGAGGATACAAAAAAAAAATCATAATTACCAAAAATCTTCTCTTCCTGGTGATGTTATCTCCTTTCTACAGGTTTAGTTACTCTAACAGGATTTCAGATTTTTGAATTATAAGAAAACATTTTTTTAAAGGGACAGGAGTGTGTGATCTCCATTATCTGTGATGAAAACAGGCACAAATTGAAAATGAATGGCCTGCATGCTAAAAGCAGTCCCCTTAATTGATTTTGCTCTACTAGTACTCCTATCAAGACTGCATCAAGCTATGGCAAAAAGGTTGTCTGAAACTTTGCTCATAAAGACAGAAAGTTATAGAAATAACCCATAAATAGTAGGAATACTCTTTTTGTATATTAATGTCTACCTTGTGCTCCATAAGGACAAGATGACATCAACTTTACCTTGAAAGTTCCATGAATCTGAGAATATGATAGCTAGTCCCATCATACTCCAGGAGCAGAAACGTAGGGCATTGTGCATAGAGATAATTTACAGGAAACAAAACTATACTGTGTCCTAATTTTAGCTTGTTCCCTGTACTCCAAGACAATAGCATAGGTATTCTACTCGTAGCATTAAGTTATGCCTTAAGAAAAGTTTACTACTCTTTCTCTGCAATGTACCAGCTGGTATTTATTCAGGTCAAGTCAAGGTCAAGGTCTGTTATGCAGAGAAAATATGCAAAGTTCTATACATATCATAGTTCAAATAATTTTTTTGAAAGCCCCCCCAATAAATAACTTATTTACTATCTCATACTTGCATACTTGAATCAAAGCCAATCAATCAATCAATCCCAATACATATTATGAACTCACATCTGTAGGTCAGGAGCAAGATACAGTAAATTGTGCATGAGGCCCATATATATTGCCATTCACCCTTACTGGCAGTATCTGTTAATGCCTCATAGGATGCTACTTCCTCTTGGGTCAATCAAAACAGCGCACGAGTTCTTGTCAATGAGTTCATCATTTTGTCATACAAAGACAGCCATTACCTATTTTTATTCAGAGGCGCTCTACTTGTTTCCAAGGCTCAGATATTTTGGCACTTTATGGACTGCCCCCCCCCGTTCTTTTCTCTGGAATCTGAGACATGCTGGAAGTACCACCCATTTTGAACCTGTGTTTTTGTTTCCTTTGTTTTAGAAGCAGATAGAAGTATGAGAATGGGATCAGTGTTGTTTCAGATAAGGAGGTTCAACCAGAGTTCTCATCTCGCTGACATGAATGAGAAGCTTTCCTTTCCCAAGTGAGACTATTACCACGTTGTACGATAACAAGTCTATATAATGAAGATTAATATGCTGAATGTTTAGCAGATAATTTGGATTTACAAGTCCCACAATCTACCTTTTACCAAACTGGCGGGATTTTCTGGGTGCTGAAACCCAGAACATCTGGAGGGCCAAATGTTTTCCATCTCTGGTTTGATACATGAATGTAATAATGGAAAGCACCCAGTCTTCATGCCTTCCTATAAGGCAAGGAGAAAGTCCTTCTGGTTCTCTGTTGATATTAGAATGGGAGTAACCTCTAATATAGGCACTAATAGAATTTTAATGAGACTGCCTCAGAGCAAGCTCTTTGTAGATTGCAGCCAGACTGCTAACCTAGGCAACTAATACAAATAAGACAGATTTATGATTACTTGGCTGCTAAGCAAAGCGTAGCTAAAAGCCAAGAGTTGGCTGCATTTGGCTTGCTCAGTTCCAAGACTTTTTGTAGGAAATGCTTCAGGAAAGCATAACATATTATTTCAAATTAAGTGAAAGCCAACACTGCCCAACAGAATAAAAAAGGACAGTAGACTTTGGTCTTCTAGAAAGTCCTCAAGATGCCAAATATGGATAGTAAGAAAAGCAGGATATCCAATCAAAATAAAAGCCATGGCTTTTCTGTTATTATCTAGGGCATCACTAAGTTCACAGGAGCAAGGGTTCCTGTTTCCAAAGTAATAACTACGTAAGAGAGAATAACAAAAGTATTGGACATAGTGGCTGTCAGGTATACATTTGCAATATGCGCTACTGCCAGGATATTGCTTGGTTATGTGATCACGTTAACAATTGTACCAGCCCTGGGAGACTATTGGGGACGGTCCGTCACAGGCCTCATAGTCCTGTTGTTGTGCAATGAAGTGTGCGAGCAGTTACATAATTGGATAGGTGACTGGCGGTGGGCAAATTGCAAAAGCCTTGCTTTTACAGTGCTTTTCTATAGGGTTTTGACCAGTGTCTGTCAATCCAAACCTGCACCGATTTCCTAAATGAAAAACCATTAAGGGCACACATTAGAGATGTACAACCTGAAAATCCTATGGGGCCTCTGGAAGTCTACTGCAGAGGACTGCATCATTTCTTCTTGTAGCTAAGTCTTGATAGGTGTTTCTGTTTCTACACTAATGTCAGCGATCCAGTTCATTGGTAGATAGAGCAGGTACTAACCTCCAAATTCACCACAGCCCAGAGCAGTTTAGCATCTCACTCCTTCTATTCTACTAAGTGCAGAGCAGAAATAGTCGTGCTATCAGGGTTCACTGGCATGAGTGGCATTTAGTTTCCCCCAGTGCAGATTTTCCTTGCCAAAGTATAATCAACATCGGTGCATGGCTTGACCAATGCTGGCAGTGAGCTTGAAGCCTGAGAACACAATCAAAACTGTGCACCCCTCTGAAACAACCAGTAACTGCTGCACACCCATCCCAACAGCTACTGCAGGAACAAGTATGGATAAGGAACCAATGAGTTTCATATAAACTGATTATTAGCAATTACATTCTATCTTGGTGTGCATTTTGCATAAGAGGACCAAGGGTAGATCTTCAATATAAACTTTAAATTAATTTTCTTTCTGTTCCTACTCAGCTCTTCATTACCACCTTAAAAATTAGTGATACCTGAAGTCTGGCAGAAGTGCTAAGAGTTCTGATAATCCCTAGCTCACTTCCCAAAGAGGTACAGATCTTTAGAGAAATAAAACTTATTTATTTATTTATTACGATCATTAAACCACTTGAAGACAGTTACCCCAAGTTAGGGGGTGGGCAATTCATGGTCTTTCAGATACTGTTGGAGGGCAACTTCCTGGGGAACCATTCTATGGGAACTGTGTGCAGCTTGATTGCTTGGAAAGCAAGGACAGTGTGTGTGTGTTTGGGGGGGGAAACGTGTTTTCTCTATGCTGTCTTGAGACAGAGAGAGCAATAGGCACTTGGGGTAAATCCAGATAGTGGTGAAAGGAAGATATTATTCTACAGTCATGGTAGTAAATTTCAGGTGTATCTTGTCCTAGCTTGTTACAGCTTTCCTGATTGACTTTCCCAGATAAAATGGAACATTAGGCCATGCAAAAAGGGTGACAGGACAGTGCTATTCAAAACTGCGGCTAACATCTTGCAGAGTTAAGACTGTCTCATGGGCCTCGGTATGGTTACAGCAACCTGAGCTCAAGACCAGTGTCCGTGTCACTGATGCTCTTTGTGTCCTTTATAGTTTGGGACACATGCTCTGTGACGTTCATGTCTGTAAATTCACAAAGACAAGTAACAGAGCAGACTCCTAGGGTGCATGATTCGAAGTGTGTGAAATTGCTGACAGATCACTTGAATGTTCTCTTTCCTCACTCCAGCATGCATGTGCAGGGGTGAAGACGCAGAATCTTTGTATAGGAAAAAGTAACAAAAAGTCAGCAGCCACAAGGAAACAGTATGTTCTCCTCCAATCTTTTTGCCACAACAAAGGAAAAAATATATACTGTAGCTTGATATAATCAAGATCTTTATTGATCTCACTGTAACAGCAACCATTGGCGAGAGTGTTTTTCCCAAACACCTGTTTCAGTAAAAACCAGATTTTTACAGAAGTAGTCCAAGGATTGTTCAAATAACCTCTTATTGGCTTAAAAAAACTGGATTACGTTTAAACAAAGAAGATGGAGGGTGAGGAGATGGAGCAGTAAATGGGTAGAGGGGTAGGTATAACCAAAAATGTTCAACATGTGAGTCAACGACATTCAGTATTGGCAGCAGCCTCTTCATTACTCTCAAGGCAGCCAACAAAAGCCTGGAAAGCAAAGTTCCCCCTCCATGTTATAAATAGCTCTTCCCCTGTCAAAGGCGAAGAAAGGCACACTGGATCACCATCTTGCAGTGAAGCGGACACAAAAGGGAAGACAGAGGAGGAGCAAAGGAAGTCTTCGGTTCCTCATTTTTATGGACCAAGGTGCAGAGAAATTTCCCCCACACCTCTTGCTTGACTCACACACAAGATGTTTATATCTGGTTCTGGCTGCGTATGTCCCTTAGATTTCCATTTTATATAAATTATTCTTGATGTGTCTAAAGCTGGTTTTGTGAAACATATCACCCACTAAACCAGAAGCTCCGTATATATCAGAACTAAGTAAATTTCTTCCCATTTAAAAAGAACCAATACTGTTCTCACTTTTTTCTAAAGTTACATATATATTTATATATATATTTGTGTGTGTATAAACATCTATCCACATACAGATTTTTGCACTCACCCTCTCTCCACGCTGGAGATTTCTCATTTTCCCAGCTACCCACTTGTGCAGATGACTAGCAAAAGCAATCTTTCAACCGATCACGCTCCCTGTGCAGCATAACATCAGGAGTGGGGAGATGAAAAGGCAAGCAGCTCATCACCACCAAAAAATTGCATAAGAATTTTTTAATTCTGCCGTCTACTTTAAGGGCTGTCTTGACCTATGCTCAGTTCACAGAATGAAACATCAACCTCACTAACAGAGGCATAAACGTTTTGAGAGGTGCCCCATAAAATGCCTATCAAGGTTTCCTGGGTGAATTTTTTTTACTACTTGTTCATGTTATTTTTTTTAAAGATCTGGTTACTCAAGATCATGTGTAGAAAGAATGAGAACTCGTTGCTACATCTATCCGCCAAACCTATTCACTGACAAAATTAGGATGCAAAAGTTAAGTCCTAAAGATCTCAATTCAAAACTAATCCTGCTTCAGCACAGTCTCAAGACCTACAGAGAAGTACTGAACATAACAAAATCTAACTACTAGGTGGGACAGTAACTATCTATTTGAAATATCAAGGACAGTACCATGAATGGTTGAAGAGGCACCAGCAATTGAAGAGATGTACTAGGACTACCATGGCAGTGGAAAGCAGGCACCCAAGGCTGACATAAGAATTCTATTCCCTGATGTGGAAATGCTATAGGTTGCTTGAAGAGATCCAGGGAAAGAAATGGTCTACTGACATGGAAACCATCTATGGTTTTATTAAGGTAAAGGTGGGCAGACTTCAGACTTGTGCAATCTACTTTGGTTTTCTTGTTCTTATTTCGTTTTTTATTATAACCCTGAGGTCCACTAGCCAGAACTGGGTGCAGAATAGTGGCTCAGATGGGCAGACATATGCGAGGAACTAAGAACAGGCTGCCTCTCTCAGCACACAATTAGTCCAGGAATGTAGGGTCAATATCAGAACCAAGTTTTCAAGTCCTTTCTCACAAAGAAATCCACTCCTAGTTTTCTCATAAGCACTCTTTTTTTTGGCAACCTGTTTGTGCGGGGGTGAGTGAGGCAGGCAGATGTTACTATAGTTAAGACTATGGGGAGGGGGGGAGAATGGTACCATTTGCCATTCTTCCTACTTCATACTAATCTCTCTTTTAGGAAGCATCGTCTGGTCAAAAAACAGGAGCCCTGGTCAATTCTCAGTGGCAAAACTGACAAGCAACTTATATCCCATATAAATAATCAAAGCTATGTTGCAAAATTGCTTGTTAAGAGGAAAGAACATAATGACATCCATAACCCAGCAGTGGTAAAAGAATGCCCTGGGACCCATTGTTCAATTATGGATACTTCAATGTGTCTTTAAATTTTTCTTTAAAGTAAATTTCCATTCTCTGAATCAAATTCCAGATTTAATGGAACATCCAACAGTGGCAGGATTATGGCTTTTAAAATTAGGTCACAGAAAACATTCTTCATTGGAGAAAAACCTTCACTGACACATGAGGCAAGCTATCTTTGGTGCCAATTAAAATCTGCTGGGTGACTGTGCCAAGAATTCCAAATGTGGCTTAAGTCCTCTTCGAAGTTAAGCAACATGGTACAGTACTTTAGGATGACATTGGGCATATTCCATTCTAGAACAGGCCTACTGAAATTAATAGGATTTGAAATAGTTTTGACTGAAAAACTCAATTCCCTTCCATGTATCTGCCTTAGGCAGGACTCATGTTAGATTCATATATTTAATATGTTACTAATAAAACAAGACTATTTCTGCTCCCAAAACAGATGCAAAAATTGCATATATGAGAATCAGCAAATATTTGCAGTGCTGACCATAAGCGCTTCACCACAGATGTTTACACAAACTCTTCTCAGTTATCAAATGAATGACACAATGTCCAAAATGAATACAATATAGGTACTTCTGGAAACGTGTCCCTAAATAATGTAACCACTCCAGGTTACTGAGAACTCTCTCTAAATGCCATCCCCCTCCCGTATGTTACCAGAAATACCCAAATTCTGGATCGTCCTACTTAAGCTAGAAGCTAGGACTATCAGTGACAATCCAGCAGGATGGCTATGTATCACCCCTATGCTTCTATATCTATCTCTGGGTAGTTCAAAAGGGTGCAATTATGCTAACACCTAGCTTGTGGGCTTCCCAGAGGCATCTGATTGGCTGCTATAAGAAAAGAATGCTGGGGCACTAAGAGAGGCCTTTGGTTTAGCCCAGCACAGCTCATCTTAAAGTTTGTAACAACATATAATGCTGGTTGGAACCATCCCTAACTTTCCTGCTATAAAAATCACACTTATTTTAACATGGACAATTACCTTATTTATTCCAATGGTAGCTTTGTAATGCTGCACAAGTTAAAAGGAGCAGCCACTAAAATCAATATTATCTAGGGACATGGGCTACCAAATTTCATGGCAGACCATTCCCTACGATTTAACTAGGAACTATGTACCCTCTAATTTTCAGCCCCACTAGGCGGGGCTCCGCCTCACGTGCGTCTTCACCCCTGCACGTGCATGCGCCTCCACCCCCTCACACGCAGGGTTCCATCACGACCAGAACCAAATGCGATCGCTGCATGGAGGAGGAAGAGAGCTGTGTAGAGGGAGGCAGAGTCATGTGCATGCCCAGCTTAGAGGGAACCTTGGCTAGGAAGACAAAAAATATGTTTTCAGGAGGTTAAGAAACACAGGGGGCATAGGCTGCCATAGCTGTATTTCTATGCAATGCACTGGCTGTGACCAGGTGTGACGGTGAAGCTCCTTTATTACAAAGTTGCACCAAGTTCGTCAAAAACCTAACCGCCCATGGGGAAGTCATCTTGGACTGAGGGAATGGAGGGGGCTCAGAATGGAGGGGGCTCATTCATTATGATGTACAAAGATAAAGTAATAAAGAATAAAAGCTATCTTCCAATTAAGCTTCCACTGAATTATTAAGGAATTCTTCATACGAGTCAATAAAGAGAAATCTGCTTATGGCAAAGGAGTTCTAAAGGAGTATGTCCAAAAAAGAAAGGTGGGATTATGCTGTGTTAAAACAGACAATCCTAGAAGCATCACTCATTTTGTCATTTAGGAATGTCTCTTTCTAAGACAGCATTTGTGAACTGTCATTTGTGTAAGCACTTGTACCAAAATTACTTTAAAATATGCTCTTTAGTAGAACAAAACGATCTGAATCAACTGGCTGACTACATTGCAGTCTTCTTCTCTAAACTGGTGGGGATCAGTCCAGATCACTGGTTCTTAACCTTTGTTACTCAGATGTTTTTGGACTGCAACTCCCAGAAGCCTTCACCATCAGCTATGCTGGCTGGGGTGCCTGGGAGTTGCAGTTCAAAAACACCTGAGTAACAAAGGTTAAGAACCACTGGTCCAGATCATCATGACAGCATTTGTAGTTAACAACTACAAAAAAGGTGTTTTTATAAAATGGTAACCGAGTTGAACAAAAATTTCAGAGGCCACATTGTAAGGAAGACACAATACAAGGCTGTCTCACAGATAAGAGGTTGCAATTTTGAATTTGCAAGCCTAGAAAACACATCAGAAGTTATAACAAATGTGGACCTTCTACCCATTCAGCCATCGGGCAGAAATCCTTCAAGTAAACTCATTACAGCATCAAAACCAACAGCAAACATTCTGATTAGCTGTCAACAATTATATCTTATTGCCTAATGCAAGTCTTGAAAACTGCAGTAGGGCAAGGGGTTATTTCTATAAACAGCCTGAACTGCTAAAATGGGCTTAATTGGGGCTCCAAAACACAGAAAATTTCCATTTCCATAAATCCAGTCTCAAAGTAATAAATGGGGAGAAGTGGGATATGCATTAATTAAAGTGCAAAACTGAAGTCATGAAAGCTAATCAACAGTGATTTGGTACAGCATTTATGCTGGATGAACATAGCTACCTTTTTGGGAGCCATTCCCATAAATGAGCAAGGAATCATGCCTTTTATGATCCTTGCCTTTTTCCCCTCCTTATAAAAGAAGCTGGTTATTTTAGCCTTCCTCTCAACAAAACAAAACCACCAATTAAGTCAAAGGGAAAGTGAGGGGCAGCAGGAAGAAAATTTTAACTTGTATGTCAAGGGTTAATAATTTTGGTTTCAGACACAGCCCTCGCATTAAAGAAGAAATAGATTGTGAAGCCATGATTTAATGGAAAGGGCTAACCAAACCCATTACTGGAGCAGTGAAATGATAATGTGTATGTTCTGTGACTGAAGGCCCCAAATCTCCACTCTTTGTTTCAATTGGAAAACCTTTAAAATAAAGTAAGTTGGTAATTAAATTGTCATTATTAATGGTGCTGTGGTAGTCAGAACCAGAGGGAAATAACAGCTTCTATGTTTATTTTTAAATGGCTTCACCAATATACTCAAATCTTGGCACACACACAAATTTTCCTTTAAAAAAAATCCATGACTTAAAAAAAATTACTGAGTGAAAAAAGTGTGTCATCTGTACCGTGCATCTAATCAACTAGTTTCTAAGAAAAACTGCTGCAAAGTCAGTAAAAAATATATATATGCAGGTTATGTGATATAGCATCCTGTTTACCCTTACAGATGTCCACAAAAGTTAGAATACAAAAATGTAGATTAGCCTGCCCATTGAAACATGTCTGTACCAACCAGCACAGTAACCTTAAAAAGGCAACCTCTGAAAAGTTTCTCTGTTCCGAGGGAAAGAAGTGCCAAAAGGTAAATATAGTAACAGGCATTTTCCAATAGTCTCCTATGCATGATGTGCCAAACTCTTGAAGATATCAACCTTATGGGTGAAGCTTGGGGAAAAAAATCATTCTTTTTCTAAACATGACCAGGGAAAATGGAAAGAAGATACCGTAGTCCCCTCACTCCAAAATAACAAATAGAAGAAATGGCTGATATTATGTATCAGTATAGTTATAGTGGCTGTACAAAATCCTAGAGCCTCCTCTTTCTCAGAATTGTTCCAGAGACCAGGGAAGCCATTTCAAAAGTTGTTTAGGGGGTCTGCTGAAACCACAGTATTTGATTTTATGGAGTTGTTAAAGTCTGAATTTTAGATTTTAATTAACATGGAACCAGACACTTGCTGCAGAATTCTGAGTGTCAAGGTCCTAAAATAATTCGATCCCCTCAAAACATCATTAATAAAAATGTTATTCTGCAGCATTTTTAACACTGGATGGCAGTGTAAGAAGAAAATGGTTAGGAAATGCTTTGGTTGCCACACCTGACTGCAATAAATATTATGAATGGCCATATATATAATTTTCATTTTTCATAATCAGGATTATTAACAACAGGGGATGATGCAGTTTATATGTCTTTCCTTCCAAGTACATACTGACATTTTAAAAATTTCTAGCTGCTGAACTCATAACTGTGATTGTTCGATCAGCACACCTGATAGCTTACTGGGTAATCAAAATGAGCCTTCCATTTTCTCCTTGCCTCTGAAAACCACTAGTGATGAATCAGTAAGTGAACAGCACTTGGAAATACAGGATGCAGCTCTAAATGAAATAATGCAAGAAGGAGACTATAAACCCAATTGCTTCTATATTTGATATTACAAAATTTGAGTCTCCCACCAGGACAACAAAGGCTGCAACATACATAGTTCACATTTGGTTTACTTCCAGATTGTCCAGCATAGCCAGTATGCTTTGGCTGTGTGACTAGGGGGTTGGAAGTTGGCAGCCCATGGTCTCAACATGGCTCCTGGGTGCATGCCGCATACACACCCTGAGCTCCCAATATCCGAAAGTTGGTTTCCAACTACATACACCTCAACCACTTTTGTCGTCATGAAGCCAAGATATGCATACAGGTCTTCCCACTGTCTACTCAGCAAGAGGATCAGCAAGCATTTTCCATTTCACCATGCCAAGATACAGGTAAATAGGGACTGAGTAGCTGAAATGGAGAAAAGGAAAACCTCTTACTGAGTATCTTAGTTTTGCTCTATGCAACTTTCGGCAGGAGTGATCCAGGCTGGTCTTAATAAAGCAGTAAAGAAATACTGCTTTATTAGAAATTAGTAGTCAAGCAAAGCCCTAGCAAGATAGCCAAGCAGATGCTAGAAGAAGGCAGGGCCCTTGCTCCTGTCATGGTCAGGACTAAATCATATTGCTGGGCTTTAAAGAACACCAGATTTATTCACTTCCTCATGACACCTGTTGCTTGCTTCTCACAGTGCCTTACAAACATTAATAAATGAATCCTCACAACAACCCTGTGAGGTAGGAGTCTACTGCCCCATTTTTACAAACTGGGGAGCTGAGGCACAAAGAAATTAAGAGACTTGCCCAGAGACACACAGGAAATCTGCAGCAGAGCAAAAGGCAGAAATCTGATCACTTGAGTCTCAGGTCAGTGTTAAGCTATTAGAATTCCCCCCCTCCTTGTGTAGCCATTCTAACCAACAGCTAATATTGAGAAATATGGGATATCTTGTTGCATTTCATATTAATAGCTAAATCCCTGAAAAGGGGAAGAAAACTCTTGGAAGTTACTCCCTTAAGTCCAAAACTAGTAAAACAAATCCTATAGTGAAGAAAGTGGCTGTGAGCAACACTTGAATTTCTGCCCCCCCCCCACTCCTCCACCGTAACCAATTAAGTTGGTTTAAATAATTGGGCAAATTGGAGTTCCACTACCATCAGCAGTGCAGAGCAAAGCTGTATCCATTCTGCCTGATCGACAGAATAACCGGTGAGGTTCCAGAAACAACTGCTGGTGATTAAATGAGGCAGGATGGAAATCCAACTGTGTTCTGACTCCGGACTGAGCTTGCAGTGCACTTTAGAAACACCTGGGCCAAAATGAGGAAGCTTAAAATGCACCTCAAGAACACTTCATCTGCTAATCACAGCTTAGTCACTTTTGCACCTTTCTTTTTGAGGCAGCATTGCTTTCCCCAGAAACACTGCAAACAGAAACTATTCCTGAGAGATCAACAGTTACAAAGCATTTTGCTTCTGTATTATTCACATTTTAGAGTAGATAATAACAATTAAAAAATAATAATCCTGTTTTTTTCTCCCCTGCCCCAAAGCTACTACATACTCAGAGAGAAAGCAAAAAGGATTTTACCAGATCCCTCCCTTTTGGAACATGAAGAAGAAATCATACTCTTTGGACAACTGAAGGTAGAAATCTATTCCAAGGGTCAGAAGCACAGGGCACGTTCATGAATTGAGTGGAAGGATCCCTGTCACCTGAAAGGCTGACATCCAATGGGATTTAACACATTCCCAGCTTACCACCCAGGATTGTCCCTTAAGTTACATGCATAGCGTGGCTGCCATATCCCTGAGGCTGGGATCCCATGCCAGTCTACTTCCACATGAACAACAACATCCAAGTAGGAAACTGCAGCTGTCCCTTGGGTGGGTGTGGGGGGAAACACTAACACAAAAGTGTTTTATACAATCCACTCATCCCATTTTTCAAAACCTTACCAGATGTAGTACATGAGCCACTGCTGGGAAAACTGCCTGAAATAATCTGAGAGAACCATCAACTGGGAGAAATAATTGATAAGTGGGAAAAATGAATGATTATGCCATCCGCCCCAGCTGCCATTGCAAACAGTCAAGGATTTTTTTTTTCAACAACATCTGAGGAGATTCCAAGTCCCTTTATGCTCCCTACTTCTTAGAGGGTATGGCCCTAATAACACACTTCCTTGGAAGCAAGCCCCATTGAATATTGTAGAACTAACTTCTAAGTAAACATGGGCAGGACTTTGACCTGCATTAACATAGTGTTGGGGAAAATACTTGGTATATGATGCCTGAATGTGTCACAGGAAGCCCTATCTTGAAAGAAGCATTCCTTCCTCCATGAAAAACAAGGGGGAATGCTTCCTTTCCTGCCTATCACCTGGAGATTTTCTTAAGGATTCGTATTAGCAAAAGATTAATAGGGGGTAAAATCTGCCACCTGATTTTCCATGGGCATACAATTTTTTTTTAAAAAAGTTGTTACTCTAGTCAATTATACAGAATAAATGTTGTAGCCTTTGGAGGACATATTTAATGAGCAATTAGGTGGCACTGCAACCAAGGCACAAACTCATCCTCTGGTGGAAGTTAAATGACCTACTTCTTTCTCTCCATGGCAAATGTTATTATAACAAGGTGGCCCAAAAACTATTCTCAGGAGGGTTCTCTTGATGTCTCCCCAGCCTGAAACACGGTTTTCAAACTCAGGCAAGCAGCAATTCATGGGGGAGAACTTCACCCACATCAAGTTAAGCAGCATGCAGATGGGTCACCAACAGGTAGGAAAATAGGCAGGAAATCCAGATGAGCAAATGACAGTGAGACCATCAGCACCACTTTTCTGCATGCCAAAATTGGTCCCAAACAGACTCAATTTTGAAGCCTTTTCTGGCTGGTTTAAGAATGTGCAAATTGATGAAACATACAAGCAGCAAGATGGTGACATGATCATACTGGGTGATTTTTCACCAGAGAAGATGGCATGAAAATAATAGTCTACTAACCAACTGGTTGCCTATCACCCCAAATTCTTTCAAGTCATGAATTATGTAATCAGCAGTGCCTATAACTTCATTCTTGCAGTGTCCCAAACATACACAGGACTTGCCCAAAATCACAAGACTCTTTGTCAAGCCCATCCTAGTCAAGCATAGCCAGGTTATTTCAATTTACCCTTTTGGCACAATAGTAGACTTGCAAAGAACCCAGCAGATATTAAGCAGCAGCAAAAGGAGAAAAAGAAAGAAAGAAAAGAAAAGACTGAGGGGGAAAAAGTATACAGGACAATTAAGCATTGTAGTTTGAGATTACATCAGAATGAAGATGTGGTTCTCTTCAACTCTGATGGACCCAAACTAAAGAGAACTACTTCTCTTTTTTGGAACCACTTCTCAGTTTTTGGAAATGGGAAGTTCTAGGAAGGAATTTTTGGGACAAATCGGAAAATAAAATACATGTATCATGAAATAACAGCTCTTTTTAAATTGTGCAATTGCTCTAAAGGAATAGCACAGAAGCATATCAAGGACAAAAGAAACCACAGCAATGCTGTATTAGGGACAGACACCTCCCACCATGTGCCCATACACAAGGATGTGTAAGCTAGTAAGAACTAGCCAAGAAGCAAAGGCTAGAACCCAAGGGAGTGCATTCAGCATATTAACAAAATGTACACAGAAACTGGCATCAAGTTAACAGCAGTAAGGGAGAGAAGAGCAATGGCAGTGTCATATCCCTTCAAGCATATATCCACCCCTTTTGTGGCCTTTTGCATTTTGCAATAAATATCCAATTGTTAATAGATAAGGGTCATGGTTCTCGCATGTGCATGGTTTGTCAAGTTGTCTTTAAAGTGCGAGAAGCTAAGGTACATTCCTTAGCTCTACAAATTTATCATGGGCTTCAATTCTGTCACAGACCAGGGAGCTGATAGGTTTAAAAGAAGATGGGTGGAGAGTGAGAAACAGAGGGGTGGGGAAAACATGATGTAATGAACAGGAATCAAGGAAGGGGAAAACAGTCCTTTTATCCTTTGGCACTTCAAAAGCTGAAGTGAGGATTCTAGTGGAAACAGCTTCTTTTTCTTCTTATTCCATCCTTCAAGTTATTGATCCTATCAGCCAAATCAGATGTGCACAGGTGATCAGGAATTGTTGTCTCTCCATGGTTACCCTCAAGGAAGATCAGATATCCATCTCAAACTGAGCATCATCACCTGGTTGAGTGACAGAAACAAACACACATCAGTATTAGGAAAAATATGCACGCATGATAAAGTGGGGTTACTTACCTGTAACCATGGAGTCTCAGAAGGAAAAATATGCACGCATGATAATCAAGTGTTATAGTGACCTTTACTTACTGTCAGCTCTTTAAGACATTTGAAATATACCCTATGTATACAAGTAAGGGACTGAGATGACAAAGAACATGCAGCACCATTTCAGAAAGTAGGTGGGAGACGCAGTTTATTTATTTATTGGACTTATATACAGCCCCATAGCGCTACAAGCACTCTCCGGGCGGTTTACAATTTTTTAATTATATAGGCTACACATTGCCACCCCAGCAAGCTGGGTACTCATTTTACCGACCTCGGAAGGATGGAAGGCCGAGTCAACCTTGAGCCGGCTACCTGGGATTTGAACCCCAGGTCGTGAGCACAGTTTTAGCTGCAGTACAGCGTTTTAACCACTGTGCCACGAGGCTCCTTTCGTATACATCACTAAAATTAAGTATCACATCTAATAAAATTTTGTAAAGAGAATATTAATAGAGCAGAGAGACCTAGAACCTTTTCTGAATATGCTCCTGTTGGCTTTTCTTTGTCTGCTTGTTTTGCTTTTGTCCTTTTAATTTAAAGAGAATGTTTGACTCTGCATCCAGAAGTGGCTGAATGTTGTCTCATGACTGGATACATTCATTCTTTTTGGTAGGTGTAGATCAGGTTACAAATTAATCATCTAGACATACAACCAGTTGTTATGACTGAAGTCTTCACTTCAAACACACTTTACTACCCACAAGCACCATCTTTGTTCTGTACATTAAAATTAATTTCAAACACATTACTGTTTAAAATTTGAACTTAAGACTATTTTTGACTGGACAACCAACAATCCTACACTTCTACAACAATCACAATAGATTATTTAAATAAGCAGAGGGTATCCTTCGAGATAAATACATTTTTGAAAGCTAAAATCCAGAACCTGAAAAGCAAATTAGCACATGTCACACTAAGGAAACCAATCATGTGATTTTGAAGCAAACCTTTATGAAGCATTGGGAAACCATCTGGTTTTCCCAGCAACTGAAAACCATAAAGCGTACTTTCTTGACACCAAGATAAGCCACATGTATATAGAACTTTAAAGAGATTAGCATGGCTGCCCAGCTAGGTCAGAGACATTGTTTTCCTTACCCACCAGGTGTTTTTTTTTGGGGGGGGGGGACTAAAGAAAAAGGCAGGGGATAGAAGAGAGGTGATCAAATACTGCCACTTGGTAGAAGAAATGGCTACTCATCCTGTGTCACTTGCTTGGCTAGGAATAATGGCTATTCATCCCATGCAAAGAGACAAATGGCACCATTGATGTAACTAGATTGTAAATTATCAGTAAGACATGACACACCGTGCCAACATTGCAATCCATGCACTTACCAATTACAGTCTTCCCATCATGATTGTTCAGGTTGTTTACTTCCACTTTGGAATCCTCATTCACAGAACCAGGGCTGGTAACTCCTGGGATATTTGGAAGGTGGCAAGGAGGGGTTTGAGCCATAGGAGAATTGCGGCGATCTAACAGAAACTTGCGGTCATAGATGATTCGGGTCCCTAGAGAAGATGTTTTTTAAAAAAAGGTAAATTAACTATTTAGCATATCCAAATATTTCTGATATAATAGACAAGGCTACTACAAACAGCCCTGTGGATTAATTCAGGTAAAGCAAACTTTCAGCTAATTATTTCACTTACTAAGGCTGCAATCCTAACTCAAACCCACAAGAATGTACTTGGACTCATTTCTGAGTCAATATGCTTAGGACATCCCAAGCATCTGAATGATGCCATTACACTGGTGAATTTTCATGCTGAGTGCCAGATTCTGAGAATGCATTAACAGCAGAAAAGTGCTTTCTGGTAGCTATAATGCAGAATGTGGAAAATTACTTTCTTGGGCTTTCAGAATCTCCAAGCCACTATGTCCAGTGAGAGACTACTGCAGGAAACAGAATGCTGGAGTCAATGGACTACTGGATTTCTCTAACAGGACTTACAGAGTACAGCAGTAGGTAAGATCCAAATGGCTTTCTGGTGGTTCCTGCTGTCTTGGCAGGTGATCCTGTAGAGACCTTAGCCTATCTCTGGAATGGGGAAATGGCCAGAGCCATTGACATGATTGCTCCTAGCTCAAAATAGCCCTTTGGCTTACTGAGGAGCTGGGGACGGTGAAACAAGTGAGACAGAGACTAGAGCGAAAACCTTGGAGTGGATCCGATTGAACATGGCTTACTCATTGGAAAGCCTATTCCATAGCAGTAGTGGCATCAAAGAAGCTACAGTATTCCTCTCTGCCGCCATTCCATCTGCACAGAGCTGTCCAGCAGAGCTCTTTTGGGTGATCTTGTGGCACAGATGGCCAAAAGAGAAGGACACTGATCACTCAATGGCCCACTGTGAAAATTTTGCATGGCACTTTGCAGAGAAAGCCACTTGGATCTGATCTTAGATGCTCTAACTCATGGGTACCCAACACCTGGTCTGCGGTGGGCTTTCCAGGACTGGGCTGCAGAGACAGATCTCTGCCCCCCGTGAGCGTGACCCCCCCAAAAGCCTACCCCCCAACAGGTCTGTGGTTTCAAAAAGGTTGGGGACCGTTGCTCTGACACAGGTCCTGTTGATGTAACTTTAGCCATTGTTTGTCCCATTATAATGGATACGTTTCAGTAGGGAGCATCTTGGAGAGATTAAAGCCATCATATGTGTGCTGGACCCTTGCCATTCCTGATTTATAAAAGCAGGTAGAGAAGGGACTGGATGATTGGGTTAGGGGTGTGTGGTACTAAAATGCCTAAAGAAGGCAGAAGTAAGAACTCTGTTTAAAAAGCCCTCCTTGAATCCCACTATATTGGTTAATTATCAGCCAGTCCCCAATACTCCATTACATAAGAGACTACGTTGATTGCCTTAGTGCAGTGTTTCCCGAACTTTTTTGAGTCACAATTCCCTTTTAAAATAGCCAAGCAACCTGTGACCCCCCACATTTGCATGCAAAGGCCTTTTACTGGCCTAATACAGGGGTGTCCAGCCTTTCACCTTCCCTGGGCCACATTAGAAGATGAAAATTTGGTTTGGGCCGCACATACATTTGGTTTGGGCCGCATGGTTTGGGAAGCCCTAGCCTTCTTCCGCAGCCCTGCTCCAAGCGTGCTTACTGGCAGCTGCGATCTCAGACAGCAGAGGCTGCCAGCTCTGACTCGGGCGGCTTTATGGGTCTGGGAGGGGGTCCGCCTATTGACGGGGACAGTGCAATGCAGTCACGCAGCCCCCCTGTCCCCTCCCCTCCCACTCCTTCCTTCCTTCCCTCTCTCTCCATCTACTGTTGTGACATGCCCTGGCCACATTCTGGCCGCCAGCGCTGGCGGTGTAACTTGAAACTTTGGAATTTCTTTAAAAATAAAAAATAGCACTGGGCCGCATTACGAGCTGACCTTGGGCCGCATGTGGCCCTCGGGCCGCAGGTTGGACAAGCCTGGCCTAATACGTTATTAAAAGAGAATAGAAGAAACCATGAGTTTCTATCTAGTTTACCCTAAAACTTTCCAGCTCCTCTGTGATCGTCCCCACCTCAAATACTATTGAATGTCCAAATACAGAAGACTCCACCGCCACTGCAGTTCACCTTTCCTCAGATTCTCCATCTCCACCCTCTTCACATGGGCCTTAGAGAAACAGTCCACAGGCAAAGGAGTGCTGAAGGTGGGGAAAGTAAATGCTTCCTTGATTTGCCTCAACCCCAACTTCCTTTCTTCTTCTTCTTCTAGGGCTCTTAAGTTTGTTTCCTGACAGTCAACTACCTGCTAGAAGTTCCCTTTGTGCACCTGGCATCCAACGTAGCTGCTCCAAACTCTCCATTCGCTTCAGGTGCAGCTCTGGTGCCTCACCTAGAGCATTAAAGCTACCAACTCCTATGCAAGTAGGAGGACAGGACAGTAATGGACTGACTGAGGGCTAACAAATGGAAAGAGAATCTGGACAAGACAGAGGTGCTCCTGCTCTGCCAAAAGGCAAATCAGCTTGTACTCCCCCCCCCAAAAAGAGAGGTTCACAGCTTAGGGATACACCTGGATTTAACCCTGAGCTTCGATGCATGTTTCAGTGGTACTCAGGAGTGCATTTACACAGTTAAATCCTGTGCACCAGCTGTGTTCATTCCTTGAGATGCCCACTCTGGTGAGTGACACATGCCTCAGTTACATCCAGCTTGGATTACTGCAACACAGTCTACACGGGGCTGCCTCTGAAGAGTGTTCAAAAACTTCAGTTGGATAAAAATGCTCCAGCCAAACTGTTGACTGGCGCTGGTTACAGGGAGCATGTAACTCTCGTATGACAACAGCTTCATTAGCTGCCTATCTGTTTCTGGGCCCAATTTAAAGTGCTGATTATTACCTATAAAGTATTTTGATCTCAGCTTGGATCCAGACAATCTGAAGAAACGTATCACTCTACAGAGTCTTTTTGGCTCTCAAGGTCTTCTGGGGAGGGCCTTCTCTCAGTTCCACCACTTTCCCAAACTTTTTTTGGAGGGGACATGAGAGAGCATCGTCTTGGTGGCTGCTCCCAGGCTTTGGAAAGCCCTACCACAAGAAGCCAGGTTGGACCCTTCCCTCTTATTCTTCCATCATCAGGCAAAGGCCTTCTTTTTCAGGCAAGCTTTTAAGCAATAACGGTCCCAGAAATGCTTTAATAACTTACATATTTTTAGACTTTAAAAAAAAATTAAATTGCTTTTGATCTCAGTTTTAATCTTGACATATGTTTAAATACTTATTAAATGATATTTATATATATTAAAACTGTTGATTGTTTTATAGTTTTAGTTGTTGTAAGCCACTTTGAGACCCCTATGCTGAGAAAGGGGGCATATAAATAATGTTAATTAATGTGAGACATTAATATGGTCATGTTGGCTGAAGGTGATAGACAGTGTAGTTTAAAACATCTGATGGGAAAGTATCAGGTTGTCTCAGCCCATTCCTAATCTACCACCACAAGTGAAAATGAAGGCTATTTGTCCATCTCTTCCTTTTTGGAAGCAAACTGTTCTCTTGGAATTCTCAGCCTTGCACTTGATACTTCTGTGTTCAGATACTGCTTTCTTATATTATGGGGAGGGGAAGAATGAATATCCTGAGAGAAAAATTGCACTCTAAACAATATCCCCTACCACTCAGAAATCAAACTCTGGTGACTTTATTTGGATTTTATTTTGGAAAAAAATAACACCTATCACCACTAGTAAGTCCACAATGTTATTATCAAAGTATGAAACACACAGCCCTTTACTGTTGTCAACCTAAGATCATGAACTGCATTTCACTCCCTATTACAAGCAGAATAAGTGTAATCATTTGAACAGAACTTTTAATTCAGACGCAACGACAGAAGTTACCTTGTTTCCTTTCAATCAATTCAAGAGTAATGATTTGAAATAAATTCACTCTCCACCCTCGAAGGGCAAACTGTGAGACTGAAAGAGAGGGACCAAAAGGCTGGGCAGAAACAGAGAAGAGAATCCTCTGGGGATTTTCATCTCAACAGGGAAAAGTACATAGAAGGGAATTCTATCCAACATTATCAGCCTCCAGTTTTTCAAAAGTATATACTTTCTTATACATGATGATTCCTTTCACTCACTTTGATCAAACTTCTGATCTGACCATCTTTGCCATGCCTTGTAAGTTTGTAACTTCCATTTTCATTACATAGCTCCATAATTCAAATTAGTTTAATAGGTTAAAAGGCTACAAATAGGGCTGAATCTTTTATGGCATCTTGAAAGCTCCCAATGAGATATGCCCAATATACAGTGACCTAAATGGTTCCTTCCCTTATGTTCTGCTGTAGTTTGGCAAGATTAAGTAAAATAGACACTTGTATGGTACCACTTATGCATCTTTCTCAGCCAGAAATAAAACAGTGACAGAACAACTCATGTTCTTTACTGTCCCAGGTAAGAATCATTTTCATAGGCTCAGGAAGGAGATCTGAAAAAAGCTTTATTGAGCTTTCCTTATTCCTTTCAGACCCCAAATTATTTCTGAATCAATATGTTTGAAAAATGTATGAAAACTGGCCAGAGTCAGATATGGAAAAGTATGAAAGTATAGCTGTTTGCATAGTTGCCTATGAACACTGACATCCTCAATTTTGACAGGAAAATATCAATGTCTAATACATTACACTAACAATGACCTCAGAGTACTAGAAAACTTTATCACATATATACATTATAAAAAACTGATACTTCTCAGATTTGTTCACAAGCATTTTGCTTACTTAGCAATTTACATTATTCTGCATTCTGTCATACAGTACTCAAAAATATTGGTATGGAAGCATATTGCTGCCACAGCAGTTTACCGGCAGGCAAAAGTGATATAGATTTCCATGGAAATGTGTTTATTCCACCAGTAGACCTCAACTGTTGACAACTGGAGAGATAAATAAACAACTCAGAAGGTATAGAAACAGCTAAAAAGATAGCTTAAAATAGGAGCAAAGGATGAGAAAAGCCCCCATAGAAGGGAGGAGACTGGGGGGGGGGAAGG